TATTTACTTTGTTACGTAGTTTTTAAACTTATCCTTATCTGATTCTTTTTTTGTTTTGTGGGCTTTATCTCTTGCACGATTTCTCTGTCGAACTGTTTTTCGTAATGCGGAATCGAACCAGGGTTTATCTTTAGGCCTAATCGTTACTGTTTTTTCGGGAATACAATTTTTAACATGGTTTAAAAAACTTGTTGAGAAATTACTCTCCGCCTCATCTATATCTTTAGCGTCATTAATAAGTGTATTCCAATCTGTATTGCGTATGCGTGTGTTCAGTGTTTCAAAATCTGCATTTTTATATAGCCATATATTCCTTTCATATGATTGTGCTTGTATTGTATGTGATTTAAGATATATGTATGTGCCTTTGTGATCGCTGAGAGATTGTTCTACATCTATTGTCCCCGAGTCCAGTACATCGGCATGTAAATTTTCGCTGACAAGAATTGGATCTATGAGAGATTTCGTGTTTTTCGTGACTCTAGTAGCGTCGCATACTGTGTTTTGAAAGGAGTATTTTTAAAGAATTTCGTTGACTACATGTGTGATTTGAAGATTTAAAAAGTTTACATTTAGGTCACCTATGACTAAAATTCTATCGGATATATCAACAGCTTTTTCAAGAGACCATTCGAATTTTTTCCATAAGGAATTATCGGAGTTAGGAGGACGATAAACACAACAGAGCAAGATATTACAGGTAGGATCGCTAATTTCTACCCATACACATTCAAGGTTCACAGGTTCAAGATCAAGGCGTCTATTAGTGCGCAACGAGTCAGATGCATATATAATTACACCGCCCCCATGAGAGTTTCTATCTTTACGAAAAATTGAGTTAAATCCGTCAATAGCAATGTCTTCATTTAAAATGTTAGCATCAAGATGAGTTTCTGTGAAACATAAAATATCGAAATCTGACACAATACTCAGAAACTTATCAAACTTGTTTCTAATACTTCTCACTTTTAAATGAAAAATGTCTAGTGTGGATTGTATACCTTGAGATGGCCCCGGATTTGTCTCTATGTCGCCTGACAACAAAATAAGGAAGTACATAATTTGTAACACATAATTTAAAAAAATGTTTTCTTGTGCCCCTTTTGACAATAAGCATTTGGTATTTTTCCAAATATAATGAAGACACTCAATAAAAAAATAAACAAAATCATTAAATCGTAATACGTAGAATAGCAGAGATTTTGATGTACATCTACATTTACAATAGAAAAGTCCGATTGCGGCTCGATATTGTTCTATTGAATTAGCCATTTTCAAGACATAGAGAGTATAAAGCAATATTTGAGCCAGCCACAAGGAGACATATAATAAGTAAACATGCAAATTTGTTTGTATGACCTTTGGTTAAAAATAAAAACGCAAAAAACGTTGAAAAAAAGTTTGTGTAGAAAGAAATCAAAAAACAAAAAGAACAGAACAATAATGAAGGAAACAAAATAAAAATTGTAAACAAGCGTGAGGAAAATGGCACCTCTGTGTCACTAGGCAAAACATGGCGCGTAGTGACAGAAGCATTGTTGAAAGACAATAAAAGTATTTGTACTATGTACATGATGTACAAGATTTTCCAAGTAACAGTAAACATACTGTTATTGTAATGGGAGAGTTTAGGGTAAACAATTAAGAAATATCATAAATAGTCCATACTGATATGTATTAGTAGTTATTAACTTGAAAAGACCAAATTTAAAATCGCTTTAAACACTTTTGATTTCAAGTTTGTGGATGAAATGATGACACCATTAAATAGTTAATGGGTACTGAATTTACATTTCCTCAGAAATCGCATCCTCTGGTGGATAGGACTGTGGTGGGGCCAGTTCATACAGATCTCTAATAGACTGTATCATGTATTTGCGCCCCTTTTCCTGCAACTGGGTAAATATCCGTCCATCGCTTGTCCAATAAGAATGCACTTTTTCAGCACGTTTCGCACTTGCCAGTTCTTTGACAATTGATTGTCTGTATTTAGTGAGGTCTTCGGTTATAAACATGATAAATATAGTAGAGCCTTTTAGCATTCGTTTCGCTGTGTAGATTTTATTTTTTACTTTCCAATTTTTAAAGCGACATATAATTTGAATATTGCCGTCTTCGTTGGGTTTACCAATTGGATGTGACCTAAAAATGTCATCCTCTGAGAGCTCTATTGATAAGTGCTGATTGCATATAGAAATTATTCTAGCATCAGTGTCCGTGCCTTGGTCGGGAACCGGGCAATTGTGAAATCTTAAGGAGTTTCTCCTTCCGTACTGCTCTAGGTCATCTACTGTATCCTCAAGATTCCAGATTTGATTTTGTAGATCAGTGTTTTGTTCTTCATAATTTTTTAAACGCCCTGTTAGATCAACAATTTGTTTATTTTGTTTTGTAATTGTTTCAGCTTGGTTCTGAATTGTTTTATTTAATGAACAGAAAACAGACTGGACTGCTAACTCGATGGAGGGTTTGATAGCTTCTGCAAGCACTGGTATTAATTGCGCCATAAAAGTTTGGCTGTTCATAGAGTTGAATATTAACTCTGGAAGACTGAAAGTTTTACCCTGAGTTTGGATAAAAGGGGGTTGCTTATCAGTACCTGGCTCCCCAATGTTTTCAGTAGAAGAATTAGCATTCACAGATGAACTTTGATTACATTGAGAAAGATCTTTAGAGGCTGGGACGGAGGTGATTGTATCTTTCCCGTTCATTTTTTCAAGTCCAGTTTGATCACTAAGTTCGTTTAAATCTGGTAATGATGAAGATCTGAACCTTCTACGTGAGTTTTTAGATGAGCTATCAGAGGGACTATTGTGTTTACGTTTTGTACCCACCGATTTGGAATTTGACGACATGAGTAGAAGTCACAAATGTTTATACATGCGGCAAGTACATTAAAGTTCACACCACAAAATCACACAAAATAGTCAAATGTTCTGCTTCAAAGTTTGTTTTCAATTAGAGATGCATCTTAAGATAGAATACACACTAGCCTATTTATCAACACTCAGAAATACAATACTACCCCTTTTACTCTCCTTGGTCAAGACTAGCCTCCTGCCATTTCCGCCATCTTGAGTACGTCTAGTGTTCCATTTCTTTAAAGTAATGGAGCATAGGCCCCGAATGGGCCTAGGCCAATTACATTTAAGAAATGGAGCGCTACGTGTATATTAACCCGCATAAAATCCGCCTTTCTGAATTTTTGTTTTTATTGTTTGTTTATGATATAAAGAATATATACATGATGCATTGTAATTTTTTATATGTATTAGTAGCATTTAATCTATATATACATGTAATATATTAAAGAAAGAACAGCGAAAAAAGTGTACTGAAGTTTACCTTATTCTATGTTTTTCATCAGCTTCTGTAAATGTTTTTATGTTCTTTCCTCGGTAGAAGCACGGATAGGAGAATAAGACCATAACAAATTCAATGCAATTTGCAACTCTCGATTTTTGAACAGTAATGGAGCGCTCAAACAAAAGAATGACGTCACAGTTCTGCCAAATTATAATTTAATTAAACTGTTGCTACATGTACCGCAGTAGTTCTTACCCAATTCTTATCATTAGCACTTTCAAAGGTTGGCTTCTTAGCGTGGCAAACATCGCCTCGAGGTAAACAATGAAATCAAGCATGGCGATTGAGCATGCAGACAATACTTGATCATTATTATCGTTTATATTCCCCACGACAAATTAAAATCCAGGCTTTTTGATATCATTGACAGCTGCTTCTTCAACAAAAATGGAACTCGTAAGTTTACTTACCTCGTCATTGGTCATTTGAAAAATTATTTTGTTAAAACAGATTCTGATTGCCCACATAAGTACTCTGAAGTTGACATCAAAAAGATGCTTGAGTTTCTGATTGACAATATCTATGTGGTTTTTGGAGACCAGGTATTCCAACAATCTATTGGAATACCCATGGGTACAAATTGCGCTCCGTTATTAGCAGACTTATTTTTATATTCATATGAAGCAGAATCTATGCAAAATCTTTTACGTGATAAGAAGAAAACACTTGCTGTGGCCTTCAACTCGACATTTAGATATATCGGCGACGTATTGTCAATTAATAATGATAATTTCCATTCCTACGTCGACACGATATATTCTGGTGAGCTTGAGATAAAAGATACCACAGAGTCCGACACTTCTGCTTCATACTTGGATATTTTACTTGAAAGAGACACTAATGGTAATCTAACAACCAAGCTATATGATAAACGTGATGACTTTAACTTTTCTATCGTCAACTTCCCTTACTTATGCAGCAATATACCTTCATCACCTGCATACGGAGTATTTATATCTCAATTGATTCGATACGCAAGAGCATGCTCTACGTATGAACAATTTCTTAAACGAGGTAAATTATTGACAAGCAAGTTGATGAAACAAGAATATCAACAGTCTCGTTTAAAGTCATCATTTCGTAAATTCTATGGTCGATACAATGACCTTGTCAGCAAATACAATTTATCATTGAATGAAATGCTGACTGACGTTTTTCATACCAATTGTTAGTCCATTATTTATACACTGAATTGACCACGGATTTTTTCCGTTATTTCCTGATTATGACAACGAGCACACGGCGGGTGTGACCGGTCGGCAGGGGATGCTCACTCCTCCATGGCACCTGATCCCACCTCTGATGTTTCGGAGGTCCGTGTTTGCTCTGCTCTTATTTTGTATATTTGTTTAATGGACTTTGAGATTGAATACTGTTCGTTATTTCCATATCCTTCATTTAATAAATAACAATATTTCTCAATTTTGTTTCAACATTTTATCAAATCATCAATGTACTTGAAACAAAACAAATAAATCAACAACAAACCCTGCTTAACGTATTTGTAACATTCACAGGGAATTGAAGTCTTCGTGAATGCATTCTTGCTTAAACATTCCACAGTTAGTTTTTTACACGCATCATCCTAAGTAATATTGACAAATTGTTTAATACAAAGTTAAAACCATCTTCTTTTAAAGAATAGTACAAATATTATCAAACAGTTCTTCAAAAAAACCCTTTTCCTTTTCGACATCTTCTCTGATGCTATCCCGAATCCTCTCCCTTTCCCTTTCAACTCTCAAACGAGCTAATCTTTCTGCCTCTCGCTTTTCTTCCTCAATCCGCCTTAGTTTTTCCCTGGTTTCCCTTTCCCTCCTTTTCTTTTCCTCTTCCATTTCTCTGAGTCTTTCAGCTTGGACTTGAGCTTCCCTCTCAAGCCTTTGGTTCATTTCTCTAATTTGGCGGACCTCCTCCAATTTCGCTTGATGAGATTCCCAATTTTGTGCCGTACGCACGTTCGACTGATTAATCTGGGTTCTTAAATTATCTACTTGCTTCTCCAGTGAGTAAGTCTCATCTTTAGTCTGTTTATGACTCCAAAACAGTCTATCATACTGCTGTTGAGTATTCCAACGGATTTCCTCCTGCTTTGCAAGTCTTACTTTGTACTTTTCATCTAATCTTTTTTCAATAGCTTGAAATTCCCTTTTTTGCTTCTCTGCTGCCTTTTTCAATTCTTCATCTTCTTTTTTCTTAATAATTCTTTCAGCCTCCAGATACATTTTATTGGTATACCATTTGCCTTTATTGTTTTCTATGTTCTTCGAAATCATTGACAAAAGCTCTAAAACCTGTCCGTCTGAGTCCATCCCTTTGAGTTTGTTATTGAATGCAATGACTCTTCCATCACATCTCTCAATAAAAGATTTAAGATTTTTGGGAACTGTCTCAATATGTTGGGCTAAAGTGCGTCCTTCTTCATCCAAGTCATCCTTTCTAGTGAAAAGCACGATGAAATATTTGAAGATATTTTCGCCAAACTGTTCGACAAAATGCATGACACATTTATGTTCTTCTTCGGTGTATCTTGAAAGATTCATGACCAAAATGAAAGCATGAGGTCCAGGTGATGTGATGCTTATACATTTTACAATTTCTTCCTGAACTTTTTTATTTGACTGTTGTGTGTCAAAAACGCCAGGGGTGTCCACAATTAAGATTTTTTTGTTGAATCGAACTCTCATTCTTTTCGAACATTTTCTTGTGATGGATGATCCAGACACACTTGATTCAAATAACTTTTCTCCTAAAATAGAGTTTCCTGTGGCACTTTTACCACTTCCTGTTTTACCGATTAATACTAATCGTATCTCCTTGTTCAACCAATCTTCGTCAGAATTCCTATAGTGGCTCGTGACTTAAATAAAGAAATGAAAAATTTGAATAAATATTATCAAAATCATGAAACATTATTAAGGGTCTAAATGAATTATTATTCTATGAAATAATAAGCTAAGGAATGAATTCAAAAGCTACCCAAATTATTCTGTAAAACTTAGGTATGGGCAGTAAATGCATTATAAAACGCGAAAATATATACTCACCGTCAATAGAAAAGACTTATAATTAACAGGTACAAAACCTTGAAAACCCAAAATATAGTCAATAATTTTATTAAAATGGGAGCTAAAAATCAACTTCCGGTAATGAAATAAAAATCATTCAACCGTTAAATAACTGATTTGGCAAAGTAAAAGATGTCTTAACTTTTTTTGGTACATAGTTATATCCTGTATATAATTTTCACCCCTAAAATTAGGGTGTTGCGTTTCTATTGACGGTGAGTATATATCTGAGAATTCCATTTCCTTCGGATTTAAAACTCCGTCCTATAATAGCAAGACCATCTTTTATAAAGACTGAGCAATCTACGTGAATCAAACCATCGTGCAGAAAGTATTCTCAAAGTAACCAGTCCTTTTTTTAATGAAATATTGCATTAAAAGTTACTTGGCACTGTTTTAGCACAGGGGCATGGGACAGTTTCACGCATCATACAGGTTTCGGGGACTTTATATTCTTACTACATCTATCAGAACTGTTTCCTGCAGGCTAAATTAGACATCACGTATAGTGTAAAAATAAGAGGGCGTACAAGGCGTGGACAGTCTCCAATTCTGAGACATTAATTTTTTTTAATTGTTAAATTTTTCTGAAATCATGTTCTCAGTGATGTCATCTTAAAACACTTCATCATTTTATTTAACTGAACGACTTATTATTCGATAAAGTCTTTTTCAAAGTTGATATTTAAGCATATACTTAGTGGGAAATGCGCTTACTAGAGCCATAAAAATCATCTTTGAATATGATTGCTCAAGTCTCTATTAATGTAAATGGGAATTAATCTGTTTGTCAAATAATGGAGTCTGAGTCCATATTCTTTATGAAAATGGAATATTTCTGAAAAAAAATATTGGTTTCAGTACCAAACCCGTTTATTTGAATCACACTGACAGACTTCGATAACACATATATTCTTCGTAGTGTAGTGGTTAAAGCTGAACACGATTAATAATAGCAATGTGTTTGCCATTTTTGTTCTCGAGTCTCGTTACCTTGCAGACCCCTATAAATAGAGAAACACCGACATCTTACGAACGAACTTAACTCGCCCTAGCTTCCTGTTTCTAAATACTTTTCTCGGGGCCAGTGATTGCACCCATATAAATTTCAAAATCGGAAGAAATAAGTTTATGTTTAAAATAGAACAGATAGTGCAGTTTAAACCACTTTGTAATTGAGAATCGTTCATGTCAAATTTATTGTAATCACTTACAATGTTTTAAAAAAGCGAGCAAATAGAAAAAAAATACACCATAATACTTTAGACAGGTTAGGAAACATGTTTGTCATGCGTCAGTAATTAAACGTTTACGCCTTATTCATATGGAGAAAGCTTAAAAGATAAATTCGAGCAATCAAGTAAATAGGTAGTGCGCTTTATAAAGTGCCTTGTATTGAGATCTAGAGAGAAAGAGAGATATTCTTTTTTGAATTTATTAAAATATCACCCCACAACCAAACCTTCTTAGTTTAGAGTCACTACCAAACAATTCCTTTGGAAGCCAAAATGAAATATTTTTTATTGAGGGGGCATAAGTATACAGTACTTAAGTTTTCTATAATGTTACATTATTTATTTATTTAGTTCATGGGGGGGGGGGGGGGTTATCCCCAACCCCTCAACCCTATTCCTAAATGTATATACGAACGTGTGTACATGATGTGTATCTTTTTATATATGTGGATCATAAAAAAAGCTGAAGATATGTATTTATGTAGGGTGGTGCATTTTTCTTAGTAAAGTTCTTTTCTATGTCATTGCTTGTTAACCATGTATTAATCGTAAAAATATAAAATTGGAATATATACTTTATACTTTTGACCACACACAGAGTTATTTTGACCGAAGGTCCAATATACATTTAAAAAGTATAAACGAAATTATAACTTGCTTTTTTGTAAGGAAAAATATTTATTCGCCATCCTGTTGTAAAAGAAAATAAATTGATTCCAGAATACCGACAAAAAGATAACGGACTTTTAAAAGTGTGTATAATATGAAAACGTACTTGTCACTTAGTTGTTATGACATCCTTCAAAAGTATGTGCACATATATGCTTATCACAAGTGCTTGTAGACCAGACAACCTCCCCATACCCACCTCCAATATACAAATACATATACCGGGTCCCAAGATTGTCATACTTGTCTTCTTTCATAAATTAACCGTCTAGTTCATATTTACAAATATTTCATATGAAAAATCCAAAAAATACATAGAATTTCACTTTTTATTTAAAAAGAAATCATGCCCATAGTATCACCTTTGACTTTTTAATTGCAGGTATCAATTTTAATTTCAGTCTGCCCGTTCGTCTTATAATTCTCTCCGTCTGTTACACTTCTGTTTTGAGCAGTATCTCGAGAAGCCTTGGAGCTTTTACAGTGAAATTAAAAAAATATTATAGCTTTGGGACTTGGATGTTAAGGTGGAGGGTAGGGGTCCAGTCCACTAGCACCCGTGAGAATTATATGAAGATTTTTAAGATACATATTTGTAAGAAGAAGCTTTATCAACCGACAACTTACGAACGGGCATCCCCCTGGATTTATGATATGGCTATAATACCTGTGTATCTAAGCCATATTAGATTTATTTTTCGCCGAATATGGTATTTTGAACAAGAATTTCTTTATTTTTTTGTTTTTTTTTTTTGCAATTTAGTTTCAGACCATAACTCCTTATTTTCCCGACCGCCCTTCGTAAAGACCCCCTATTAATACTATTATTTTTTATAACATGCCACAGAATGACATTTTTTAAATTTTTCCTTTCATTTCCCTTCTCGAACCTCTTTGCTCATTTAAATGGCATTTGAAATGTATTGTAGCGTCACGGTAGCGACTACGACAAGACGTGGATTTGAGGTATCTTGTGGGGATTTTATCTATCGAAATCCCAATAAAATTGAAGAATTCAATAATCCAGCCATGGATACAATAGACTACAATGACTGATCCCCGTTTTCGGTTACGTTCGTTTGTAAGATGTCGGTGTTTCTCTATTAGGGCAAGACTTAGAGACTGTTCAGTGTACTCAGTTGACACCGGTGAAGACGGACGTATGCCATACAGGACTTGGTAGCGAGAATAATAACGTAATACTTTGTCTAATGCAGGAAAATAAGATACATGTACCAAATGAATTTACAATTATAGTTGTATAAGTCAGTGCAGAATACAAACAACACAGATAAACGTAACTGCAAAAAATATAAACAAATGTAATGCAAGATAACCAGCACAAACACGGGTCGCCATTCCACGCCGATACCCGTGACAATAAAGCAGTCAGGTGTAACAAATGCGACGACTATACCCTAGTATTGATGTTTCGTAGATAATGCTATTGAAATGGCGTATGCCTTTTTACGAGTCGTGTTCAGCTTTAACGCGTTCGGTCTTGCGCCAAACCCTGCGCTATGAAGATAGTTCGAATCATACGTGAAGCTTTTTTTTCTTTTTTTCTTTTCACAACTCTTAAACACATAAGTGAGAAATAAATTATTAATGAAATATTCAAACAACAATTTACAGAATCAAATATATAAACGGTTATTTAAGCCATATAATTTTTAGTCTGGTCCGATTTATAGAAAAATACTTCTCTAACGACAAATAAATTATTATTTCGTCCAGCATAGTTTTTAACCTATTTTGAGTATGCTGAATCCGAGAAAAATATGCTGGCCTTCATGAAAGTAGCGTTATTGAGGTCAAAATGGCGATTCGAAATGGCGGACATTAATTTTATCTAAATATCGTCCAAAAAGGAGAAATAATGTGTTAGTATCTCACTGAGTATAATACAAGTATAAAAAAGACACAAGAATGCCAACATTATTAGTTTAACTCAGAAAATTTAGTCGTTTCTCGCTTAATTCAAATTTTCTCTGATTTTTTTGTCTATTTTTCTATATTCTGCTTTGTTCAGGATTTCATTCGGAATTATTCATACACTGCAGATTTGTATTTTTTCCACTGCATCTCACTATTCTACAACTGGATGATAGTGCAACTGTGAGTTAAAAGTCAAAATGGTGATTCAAAATGGCGGATATTCATTTTTTTTTTTCAAATTATATTTTAAGGTCGTTTACATAGGAGAGAGGATTTGTGAATGCGACATGCGACATTGCTAATGAGTGAGCTATTCTCGAGTCTTATATAGTGTACAAGCCTGTTATTCGTTAATTTTGCCTGAACATTTGCATAATCGTTTTGTCTACGTTGGTCAAAGGGGCATACTTTGATTATCGAACTTTGTAAGAAACTTACATGATGCAAATTTTGCCACTTAGAATAATCCGCAAGAGAAAATTGTATATAAAAGGTAACTTTGGAGGGATTTGTGAACATCTTACTGAAATGCAGAACACTAATCTGATCACTTTTAATCGAAAAATTTAGTCGTTTAAATTTGAAATGTGTTAATTATCTCAAAATGTCGATTCAAAATGACAGTTTATACAATCAAATTTCGTAGATACTGCTTAATTCTGAGTCCTTTTGCGGAAAAAAAATTATGTCACAGTGTTTCTTTTATATATGTAGTATATATATAGTTTATTGATTAGTCCATTGAATATGAACAAACAAAGAATACTTGAAAAGATTCTTTTCTTCGGGAAATAGTTAAAACAAACTGGACTTAAGAGTTTCCAAATTTCTCTTTCGTAATTGACCGTGTTCCAGAGCCTTTGAGCCTCCCGCAGTACAATTAAGGTGCGCAATGGAAATAAGGACTAAATTTTGTATTTAAAAATATATTCGTAATTCAGATGGCGTTT